ATAATATAAAAAAAACCAAAAAAATAAAAAAATATTGAAAAATAATTAAAAAAAAAAACAAAAAAAAATTACAAGGAAAAAAAAAAAAAAAAAAAAAAAGCAGATATTCTAAAAAAGATTATAAAATTAGATTAAAGAGTACTGAAATTTGTGAGGGTATTACTTTTTTGTATCTAATAAGAATAAGGAAGTTTTCAATTTTATTTTGGATTTGATTAAGAGTTATTGTAGATGAACCTTCACCATTATAAAAGATACCAAAATAGCATATAACATCTTGAGGTTTTCTAGAAAGAATAAGTTGGTTGCTCATTGTAAGAAAAGAAGTTGAGTTTGATGAAAATTTGGGTTTAATATGAAGAAGATCAGATTTAGAAGCATTAATTTCTATATTATTAAGTTTATATAATATAGAAATATCATTTATAATGTTTTGCCTTATATTTGCACTTTCGTAGTGCCAGGTAGTATCATCTATTAAGGCCAATGGTGGGATTATTATTGAGAAAGGTGTTGTATTTGTTATGATATCAATAGGAGATTGACATGAAATTTTGAGTAAATGGTTTTTGTATTTTTTATAAATAAAGAAGAGTATAGGCTCATAATAAATTTTCTATAATAATGGTGAATATGTTTCACCTTATTCAATACCAGAGTTGATTGATATTGGAGAGATAAGACCATGAGCAGTAATAACTCTGGCAAAATAATAAGAGTGTAGTTCAGTGATAAGGTTGATTTCTGTTAAGAGAATTTCTATTCATTTGCATGTGTCCTGAAGCCTTGATATGTTAATTTTATCAAAAGCCTTAGATATATCTTGAAAGAGAATTCAGGCTTCTTTATTATTACCTTTATAATGTTCGATTGTATTATGTAAGATTTGTATAAAAAGATGAGTTGAGGAGTTTTTGATAGCTGCAAAGTTTAAATTTGATAAGAGATTGTGACTTGAAATAATATTATTTAGTTGGTTTGTGAATATTTTAGTAAAAACTTTTTTGAAAGGTTCTATTATTGAGATTGGTCAAACTTGATTTAGTATATAGTTCCAGTTTGATTTTTTAGGAATTAAGAAGATGTTAGAAGATTTCCAGTCTGAAGAGATTTTCTTCAATTGAAAACATTTGTTTAAGAAAAGTCGAAAGATGTTTTGTGCTTTGGGACTAGAGAATTTTATGTGTTCATAGCAGGTTTCGAGAGGTTCTGTTGCTTTTTGATTAAGTAGATCAGAGATTAGGCTTTGCCATTCTTGTTCTGATATATTATGAGTGAGGTTTTGATAGTGAATTTCAAATTCAGGATGTGGTTTATATAATGAAAAGTATTTAGATAATGATGGAATAGTTTCAAGAGGGTTGGTTTTAAAATACTCAGTGAAGTGATGTTTAATTGTATTGAGAATTTCCTTATGTTCTGTAAGAAGGTTGTTATTAAGAAGTAATCTATCAATATGAATATTGTTGTATTTTTTAAGTATTTTTTTATAAAAAAGTTTAGGTGTTTCTTTAAATAATTTGTTTTGATCTTTTATTTTTTCTTTGATTTCATTATATATAAATTGTTGATATTGGTAATTAAGTGCAGTTTTAATAAGTTGAAATTCTTCTTTAACTTGGATTAGGGAGAGTAGAAAAATTTAAAAGAGCAGTTTAAATATTTAGTTTGATATTTGAGAAGGAGTGTGTTAAAGTTAATTGAGTCCATAAGATTTTTAAAGAATTATATTTCTTTATAGTGAAATAAAGTGGAGAGTGTTTTAATGAAGATAAGTCTTTGATTTCTTTAATTGTTTTAATTTTTTTAAAAGGAATGTGTTTGGTTGAAGCTTTGATTAATGCTTTGTAAATTTTATTCCACATAGTATTAAGTTGATTTTGATTTGCAATTGATAGAATTTTAGAACCTAGGTGTTGAAGATTTTTAGTTGTTTGGTCAGTGTAGTTTTAAGATTTTCTTTAGTGCAATTTTTCCAAAGAAAAACTTTACATTTGTGTTGTTTATGAGATTTAGGTTTATTAATTATAATAGAGATTTCTAGAGTTATAATATGATGATCTGATTCGATTATATCAGATGTAAGAATTTTTGTATAATCAATATTAGTAATAGATAAGTTGGTCCAAATTTGATCAATTTGGCTTTGTATATTGTTATAACTAAAAGTAAAATTATAAGTGTTTGGATAAAAAACTCGGAAGATATCTTTAAATTGAAAACTGATTAAGTATTAAATGATTTGACTTTTAGAGATTGATGATTTTTTTGAAGGCAACTGTCAATTCTTGGATTTGGTATACTGTTTAGGTCTCCTATAATAATTAATTTGTATTTGTTATTTTAGTAATGGAAATTAAATAATTTTGAACTTCTTTGCGAAGTTGTTTTTTCTCATAAGTTGGAAAGTATATTTGAATAAGCCTGATTGACATATTTTTGAAATAAAAATCAAGGCCAATTATGTGTCTATTAAAATTGTGAGATTTGGTAATATATTTGGAGATTTTTTAATGAACAAAAATTCCAATTCCAGCTTGATGAGGATTTGTATATGAGCTCCAGAAACTAACATAGTTTTGAATTTGGTTGTTTATGAATTTGCCTTCTTTGAATGATAGATGTGTTTTGGAAAGTCCAAAAATTTTAAAATTTTCTTTTTGTAAGAGTTCAGTTAAAACAATTTTTTTATTCGCTTGTGAGAGACCATTAATATTTATTAAACCAATTTTAATTGGAAGAGAAGTATATTCAGATGAAGTTAATGATAGAGTGGTTAAAGATGATTTAGAAGTATTTGGATTAGATAATTGATCAGATATGGAAAAGGAGGCAGAATTTGTATCAGATATTTTCTAGTTGAGACTAGATAGTAAGGGTAGATGGTCATGTATTTTGTAAAAAGAAAGATCTATTGCAATATGGTTTGGTAATGTTTGATTTATATTATTTAAGTAAATGTGTGTTTCTGTTTTGTTAAGGTTTATAGATATTTTTATTGAATTGGGATAGAGATTGTTATGTAAGTGTTGAATAAAGTTGTCAAGTGTGACTGGTTCCAGTATTTGAGGTAAGTTGTGGTATTTTATAAATTTGTTGTAGCATTTGTCTATCTCTGTAGGGGTTGAAGTATTGAAAGTAGAGATAGTATTTGTAATGTCTTCTACAGATTCACTTACCATTTAAAGCTCGGCTTGCACAGCTGTGAAGGATCCCATAACCTGCACTGTACATTGGGTCTGGTCATCATAATCCTGATCCTTCACTACAATAGGCTTTACTACCTGCCCACTGTTATCATTCTCTTCTAAGTATGGCCCACATATGTGAAGGACATCATTATCTTAGAAGTGGTAGCTGCATTAATGTTTATCTATAGAAGATTTGTTTGACTTATATGTGTATAGTGTTTGTAAGTATATCAGGTAATTGATTGTTTTTGTTTTTGTATTTGTATTACTACATATTTGTTTAATTGTTAATTATAGTTCCTATTACTATAACTAATAATTTGCCCTTATAGGGTTTCAGTTTCTAACTGGTACTATCAAAGAGATTCTATTTTTCCTATTCGGGACTTCAAGATGGGTTTCCAGTCCTTACATCCAGATTAGGTAAGTTCCTAGTCCTTTATTGGTTTCTCATCAGCACCTTTTATTGGACTTATATCAGATTTATATCTGCCTATTGCCACTTAACCAGATATATTTCTTGATGTAACATAGTATGTTACACTAATGCCAGTGCCTAGGGCTATAGGGCCAGAGTGCAGAACAGCGATACCCCCAACTTTACAGAATATGGTTGATCATTATACAGATCATATAACACCAGATATATTTATTTATTCAGAAATCATCACTGGTAGGATTCAAACTCTAAAACTGGCTATCTGAGGTGTAACAACTTAACCACTTCACTAAGTTACCACACCCTAAAAAATAATTATTACATATTTATGATTAAATCAGTATAAATATTTTTTTTTTTATTTCTCTTAATAAATAACTAAAATAGCTAATGTTTAAGAAACCAAATTAAAGTATCATCGAGAAGCTTGTTTTAGTTGTCAGAAATGCATGTTTTGTAGAATTGATTTACAACAAGAAAAATGTAATTGTGACTTGTCTAATATGCCAAATAGAGGCAACCGAACAGATACTGTAAAATATGCATTTACAAAAATCTTCAATCCGAATTGGATTAAAGAAAAAGTAGACTTTGTTCAAGAAAAAATAGAATATTATAATTACTCATTAAGTTCAAAAGAGTATTTTAATTTTACTTTGTATGCTCGCTGCAATAGTAATTTGTTAAGATTGTCCTCAAAAGCAAAAAAGACCAAAGAAAGTACTATAACTGATTTAGAAATGAATACATATAATTTTACCATTCTAATCAACGAAACTTCTGAACCAGAAGATAAATATTATTGGAGATCTAATAAAAAAGGTTATAGTAAAAAGGAACTTGAGAACTATACTGATAATGAATTTCTATCTGATGATGAAATTGAAATTGAATATACTTATGGGATTTTTATAAAGTTAGAGAATGGAATGTCTCTTCTAGCAAAATAGTATAAACTAAAGTATCTACAGTTGATGAATTACTTTTAGAAATTCATTTAAATGTAGAAACTTTAGTAGGCAAAACATCAATTGATTCAAATAATTATCATGTTGTATTCAAATCTAAAAAGGCTATAGAAGTGGGTACTCAATTTGTTGATACTCAAGACTTTAAAAAATTTCAAGCTAATTACCAAAAATATAAATCTAAAAGGATCAATATAGCCTTTTTTATAACATTTATTAATCTGAATCTAAAACGAAAATTAAATATAAGTATATTGGTAATAATATTTATTAATTAATTGTTAATTATTTATAAATAATATTTATAATATTATATTAGGATCTTGAATCTGATAATAGTTCAGACAATGAAATTATTAAATATTTAAGAAATAAAAACTCTATTCCTAAAACTTCAAACTTATCATCAGCTAAATTGTCAATTAAAAAAAATGTTTTAGAGATTTGTAAAGAAAATCATTATGTAATTCATAATCGACCATATTTAAATAAGGATAAGGCTAAGAAAAATCATATCGAAATTATATTTATGATGTTGTCAATTTGGGTAACAGAAATGGTATATAATAATAAATTTATAATCTGAATATGATAATTTATTTATATATTAATATATTAATATTTTTAAACATATAGAATAAAGCAATGACATCATCTACAGAACCACCTACACACCCTTTATTTATTTATAAATATTTATTAAAAACAAAAAATCAAATACTATCATCTATTACAATACAACAGCCTAATTCAATTCAACAATTGAATCCAATACAAGCTAATTCAATCCAACAATTTAATTCAATACAACACTCTAATCTAATACAATAATTTAATTCATTACAAAATTCTAATTTAATATAATATTCTAATCTAATGTCACAACCTAATTTTATTCAATAATCAATCTTTTCAGATCAACATTATATGCTGTCCCTATTTTATAATTCATTTTCAACATATATTCCTTTACAACCTTATGGAACACCTTTTCAAACTCCTATTTTATCTTTACAACAAACTGTTAAAATGACATTATCTACGATTAAAGATTTCTTAAAATATATAGATGAAAATGAAAGTACTGGAGACTATTATTAAAAATTTTTATTAGAATTTGATCGATAAAATATTTCTATAAGATTACTTTCAAAATTATCAGACAAAAATTTTAAAGAATGTGAAGTAGATACAATTGGTGTACATCAAACTCTTCATGAATATGTAATTAAATATAACATGACTTTTATATCAAATAATAAATTATAAGCTAAATAATTTATTTATAACCTGCTGCATTAAAAAAATTACTAGAAATTAAAGAGGTAATTTGAGAACATGCAACTAATTATAGGTATTCAGGATCTGAACAACATTCTACAAAATACTGATATTGTTTTAAATAATTTTTTATATATAAAAAAACTAATTCAATAGGGTTAAGATCAGGCAAATATGATGAAAGAAATTCAATATATGCACTAAATGCATTTAAATATTCAATTAATTCTTCATTATGATGTATACTTGCATTATCAAGTATTAATACACTTCTTGTATGTGGAAATGTATTTATTTGAGGTAGCTTAAAATAAAATAAATTTAATATATATATATATATATAAATACAATATAATAATTATATTTCATACCACTTGAGAAATCACAAATTTTTTAAAAATTTCTTTGATACAACTACCCTCTATAATTTTAATTGCAATAATACCATCTAAAGAAAATGCTGGTAATAGTGTATAGCGTTTACCACAGAGAAATACTACTTTTTTAACAACTCTTGTATTTATTACAGAATAACCATATGCTCAAGAAATAGTGCGTTCATCTTTTGATGATTCATCTAAAAAAACTAATTAATTACTTTTATATTGAGAACCAATTCAGGCCATAAAGACACTTCGAAGTAATTTATTACATTTCTTTGCAGCTTTATGTAACTAAAAAATTATTAAAAAATATATTATTTATATAAATTAATTTATATTAATATAAATAAAAAATAAATTAAATACTTTTTTTTGTGTTATTCCACAATAAACTAATGAACGCCACATAGTAGAAATTGAGAAAGTTTTGCTGCACTGAATTTCCATTTGTGAAATTATCTCTTCCAAATATAAGTCCAGATTTGCTTGTATAATATTTCGTAACATCTATAATAAAAAATAAATTATATTAAATTATAAATACTATTTAAGTTATAACAAATAATCTTACACTTACATTCATATTATCTCGATTAAAAATTTTAGACCGTCCATGTGCTTTCTGCCATGGATTGGTTACAGTTCCCCATTTTTTATATAACCGTAATACTTTTCTTACCAGACTTTCACTAACATAAAAAAGGTTTGCAACTTGTGTTACTGAATAATTATCATAATGTAAATATATTATATGCCATTTCAAATCATGACTATAAGCAGAGGGCATGCTAACGAATGCTTTTTTTAGTGAAGGTTTCTTTGAAATTAAAATAAAACAATTATATAACAGTTATAGTAATATACTAGAATCATCAGGAGAAAGCGTCAATGTTACACATTAATCCTTCCCACGATGTAATTAATCAACAATAAAATTATTTATTTTGAGTTTACTCTAAAATGTATGTTATGGATATAATCCCTCGCCCCGTCATTTACACGGAATCTGTAAGATTCTCGGAGAATTAAAAAATCTACTAGAATCGGCTGATTTTACGTAATTTCACATGATATCATGATCTGCAGATGTCACACTTTATTGCAAAGCGCTATAACATTTAAGAATCAATAATAAAGTTAAAATTAAGGTAAATAAATAATTTCATGCGTTTAGTTTAGTTATTTTACTTGTAAATTGAGATAGAATGTGTATTTATATTTAATATACTAATTTGATTGGTTAATTTTGATTATATTATTTATACTATTATAAATAGTGACAATCCTAGAATCGTTACAAAAAAAATAGTAGTCAGGTTTTTCTTATATTGGTAGTTTGGGTAGTTTGCTAGGAAAACCACCGTTTGGCATTTTCTGACTAATTTTAAGATTTTAATTCAAGTTAAAGTACAAGTTCTCATTTAGATACTATATATTAGATTAATAAAATTTGAAGATTTTTGATATTTGAAAAATCAATTCTTCGAAAAATAAAATGGTTTAAAAATAGAATAATTAATCAGAAAATTGGTAATTTAATTTCCAAAACGAAATCAACTAGTACCTATAAATAAATCAAAATCTGAAATTGAAATTTCGTGTAACACGATTTTCAATCACATTTTTCTCAAAATTAAAAATATCCTTTAAAGGTGGTTTTTCTATAGATGATAGTTGCTAAATGAATTTTTTTTTTGTGATTAATATATGTAATATTAAAGCATTATACCAGGAACGGAGTGATGAAATCACGAAGTAGATGGTTTATATTGAACAATAAGTGGTATCCGCCGTCAAAATCTTAAGTTTGATTGGTCCACATGATTTATTCATCAAATTTTGATTATTTTTCACACACATTAATTCATTACGCATTATTTTTCACACGTAAATTCATCACGGATATGCACGTGCATTCGGATATGCAATCACACGAATCATAATTTGAATACAAAAAAAATGAAACCGTAACGATGTCGTAGTTGCGATAAATAACAATAGTAAAAAAGGAATTTTAGACGCAAAAATTAGTAACCCAGTGCAAATTAATTTGCATATTTACCTGAGATTTGGCATTTTTGTTTTTTTTTCGTTGGATTTTTCATTGGGTTGATTAAATGATAATCACTGATCGTCAAAGACAATTTATTATATGATGCCTAGTAAACTTTTGTTTGATTAGCTAATGTGAGTCGATTACCTATAGTACTGTCAAATGCTTCGCAATATATTAATGGGATGCTAGATCAGTTCTTGTTTGTACGTTACTTGGATTATTTGTTAGCTACTATATTTGCTTTCGTTCCCGGTTTCTAGCACGACTGCGTCACGCAGCTACCTTATACTGATTCGTTATAGAACATTGATATTTATAAAAATGATTCAAAAAATAAGAAATGATTTTAGCGCAAACAATATGAAAATCTTAGAAGAACGTCTTAGGCATTACGAAGATGAGGCAGCCAATTTAGTAGTACATCAACATTAATAGACAAAGTTTCACATTTACGAAAAAAATGGGCAAATGTTGCGTCAAAGACAATCATTAATATTGAAAATTTAATGAACCTTGATCTTTGCTTCGTCCTGGACTGTACAGACTATATGTCTCCTTATATCAAAGCAGCGAAAGAGCATATATTAAAAGTGGCTAGTTACATAAACAGCAATAATTCAAATATCAAATTATGGGTTGGTTTCTGTGGCTATCGTGATCACTCTGATGGTAGTGATCGCTTACAAAATTTTGATTTTACTAGCTCTCTTGAGAAATTTAAAACGTACATAGCCAACAAAGTGAAAGCTATAGGTGGCAATGATGATCCAGAAGATGTTTTAGGTGGTCTTAATGCTGCGATAACTGAGATGACATGGAGCAATGCCACTCGTGTTATTATTCATATCGGCGATGCACCACCACATGGTCATCGCTTTACCAACTTATCTGATGATTATTCAGACGGTGACCTAAATGGTCTAACTGCAGAAGTGTGTTAAAAAAAATGCAATTAAAAAATATTTTATCCTATTTTGGAAAAATTGATGATTCTACCGATGTTATGATTAATGTATTTCATGAAATAATTGGAGAATTTTATATATTTGATCTTATGACTATAGGAAATAATCCTGAGGTATCGGTCAATAAATTTTGCAAGGCTACTTCCTTAGCTATCTTTTTTTCTATTACAATAACTACAACTTTAAGAAGCTCGAAAAGCATATACTCTCTGCAACGAAAAAAAACTTCAAATCAATCCACACGAACCTGATTGGGCTACTCATCCAGAGAAAATCTTATGTCATATTTCACCTAAAACTCTGACTGAAGTTAAAGATGAATATTATTTTATAAATTCAAACTTTATTGAACAAGACACAACTTTTAAGCTTGCGCTGCAACCATTCGCTGTCGGTGCTGAATGATATGCTTATTTCGTACTTGATACAAGCCATGTGCGAGCCAATAAATTAGTGACAAAAAAGTATAACGATATTAAAATAGGTACAATAGGAAAGTATATAATAAGTGAAAAGTGATAATGTTACTTATTTTTTTATCAACAGAATTAATATTGTCGCAGTGCAGGTTGGTGTTAATAAAAAAGGTGCATTTTTTGATGTAAGAGTCTTACAGTATACGATGCGACTGATAATGCCTGTTACTCTGTGGAAAAATATATCAGTAATGCAGAATTTAAAAAAGTTTGATGCAAATAGTGGTCTAATTACAGGATTTCATTCCATTCTGAAGGCATTTGCTTATTTTACATATACAGTGGTGATCATAAGTAATGGAGCAAAAAAAATAATTAGTTAGATCATGTTATTTTGTGCAATTCTGGATGTATCCTTTTATTTTTTTTTTAATTTACTATTGAATAGTATTTTTTAATATGAAATTTTATTAACTGTTATTATTGCTGATGCAAAGATAATCATTTGTATATCATGAAACATGTGATGCATTACTTTTGATCATCTCTTATAAAGATCAGAGTTAGATGATATAATAATATAGGCCAAATAATTTTATTTGAGGATTATATTAAAAATTCTGTATGTTATATACAGGATTTGTGCATGCTTATCTCTAATAATACTTTTAAGGAGTTATTTTAGCATTTATTTATATTACTTAGTTTCATTACTTACAAATATAACTTTATATTTAATATTGAATAAGCTATATAAAATTATTTATATTATTATAAATAAATCCAATTCTAAGACTATGGGTAAATATTGCATAATAATCTATAAAATTTATCATAAAAAAACATTATATTATGATGCTCATGACTTAGAATAAATTAGGTTTTTAATAAGTGATAGCATAGATACCATTGAAGAAAAGTCACTTGCCTAATTTAAAATGCATTTGTCAGGATAATATTACCTTGACAGATAAAGTCTGTAGATATATTAATACAACATCATATGTTGGGGCATATATCATTGTAAAAGAAATCAAAGTTCAAATAAAAATACTAAAATAATAATGAATGGGTTGTAGAAAAAGATAAAAGTGTTAGTAAATAAAGATGAAATGATTATAACAATGAAAAAAGGATGCCCAAATCATATTCCAAATTTTTTTCTTTTTTTTTCTTGTCATTTTTTATAAATAAGGTTCAAATTTCTTCTCTTGTAATAGATTATATAGTATGGTATCACATTATAACAAAAAATTGAATCATTTTATAGACTATAGATCTGCTTTTTTTTTTAATATTAATGGTGAGGCCATGTCTTTATCTTTATTGAATATTTAATTGAGATTTTATATAGAGTACAATTCTGCTTTTAAAATATTATAAAAAGAATAAAAGCTCAAACTAATTTATCTGCAACCTAAACCAACTGGAGTTGCCAAGGCTCACTTAAATTTGAGTGTTAGTGATTATGTATAAGGATTAGTAATTATGTATAAGGATTAGTTTGATATTTAATTCATTGGATATACCAAGAGTTTATTTTTGAACTAATAGAGTTAAACAGAAAAGAGCATGATGGAAGTAAGACAGTGTTTGGTAATGAGTTATATTTAGGGATTTAAGCTGTAAATCTTGAAATACAGTAGAGGATCCAGATTTTATAATAAATTTATTAGTTAAAATAAAGCAAGAACTTTATAGTAAGTGTTGTGACTGCTTTTTTAAGTCCCAAACTTGTGATAGTATCGATGAGCTCATTTGGTATTAGACCTCTTAGAGTTGAGAAAATTAAAAGTGCATCTGATAAACTGTAAGTAGTCATACTACTTAGCAGCTTGATTTGGTTGTATAAGTTTATTATAGTATTTGATAAGATGTTAAGTATGTTAATATTAAGAGTATGTTTTAGTACAGTGTCTATAATGGACTGTAATAATTAGTTAGATAAACAGATTGTTTAGTAAAGATGATAACTGGTTTGGTAATATTGATAACAGATTGGTAAGTATGAATAATATTGTTTATATAGAATATTTAAAATAAGAAGATTATCTAACAGAATTTTAATTCTAAAGGACTTAAGAGTAGAATACTGAAAGCTGTGTGAGAAATTGATAATTTTTTAATTATTATCAATATATAGCCAAGTAGCTTGCCAATCAACTTGGTTAAGAATTTTATGCTATTTTTGAAAGTGATTTTATGTAATCCATAGTGCATAGATATGTGCATAATATATTGTATAAATACTACAATAAGTAGGTAGTTCTAAGGAAAAGTTCTCAAAGTTTAAAGTATATGAAGGGTTATAAATATTATAAGATATAAAGATAAGGTATAGTAAGTTGTAGTAATTGCATGCAAGTTGGTCTACAAGATTATTGTATTGATTGTCTTGATAAGCAGTAACTTTGTTAAAAATTATTTAGATATTGTATAATTTAATAAAGTTAATAAGTATATTCCATAATGAGAAGTATGATGTATGTATATAAGATAAAATATGAATTAAGTTTGAAAGACTATGATATTTAGAGATTACTGACTATAAGTCAGTATATATATCTATAGTACAGTTTTTAGGAACTGTAATAAGAGCAGATAGGATAGCAGTAAGTTCAGACTTAAATGAACAAAACAAATATTTTGTTTGGACTTAGAATATATGCATTATAGTATTATTTGAAATTTGAACTCATTCGATTCCTATGAAGCATTATGATGTGCTCAAGTTGATAACAAAACTATCTGTATAGAAGTGAAGTTTTAATAATTGTACATTGTAGTTGACAATTTGTTAAAGATTGTCTGTTAAAATACTGGGTCAATAATAGTTGGAATAGAGTATATTGTAATGTTAATATTGGAAAAATTAGAAATTTGAATAGAATGTCAAATTGCTATAGAGATATGAAGTCAAGATGATTAGCATTAAAGTTAAGAGTTTTATTGTTGTGTTAATTCAACCAAAGAATCTTGTAAAAAAAATAATAGAAATATTAATTGTGTATTATTAGCAAATATGTAAGAGTTAAAAGAGCAATCTGGGCATGCTTATAATTAAATAGATGAAAGAGAATAGAACCAAGTAAATTCTAATTCTATATGGCATTGTCAGTGAGTAATAAGAATTGTTCCTGATGAAGAAGATTATCTTCTGGCTTTATCAGTAATGATTTGATCATTAAGTATTATAATAAGTCATGATTTTTTATATAAAAAGAAATGTTTAGTTAAACTATAGATCTGCCTTAAAATTAATAAAAACATTTAATTAATAAAGTTCTAAATAAACAGAACATTCTTTTTAACCTATTTTTTATTATATCTAAATCTCTTTATAACATTCTTAAAAGCTATCTTTAACTGCCTTATCTGCTTTTGAGTACTGTTATGCAATTTCAATGTTTTTAAAGTAATAATTTGTTGTTTTTTTCTTTTCTAGTAGTGCTGTTCTATATCATCTAACCTGTATCAATATTTATTTTCTTTAATATTTATAAGAATATTTAATTTGTATATACCAGGAATATAGTGAAACAAAGTGGATGGTTCAATTCAATTTTTGTGTTTATACACAAAATCTCAATTCTGATTAGCTGTTTAACAAATAATCTGCATTGTTTGATGTCATGCAGATCATTAGTGTGAAATATTTAATCTAACATGTTTATTATATATTTTACTACATTTTGCTAAATATCAAAGTAGTTTTATATATATTTTGTCTGCTAACCCTCTTGGTATTCTCTATTAAACTTTAAATAAATGTAATTAGAATCTATATTCCTAGTTTTAGCACAATGGTGTTGTGCAGCTACCTTATACATCCTTCTATTATTTCTTAACTACTCTTTTGCATCTAAAATATATTCCTGATTACAAAGTAATTAATTACACTTAAGGCTATTTGAAGTTGGTTTTTCAGTAATGTTATTCTCTTAGCTAAAGGCTTTCTTTAAGAAATGAACAACTAAACAAAATGCTAGATAATCTTACTAATCTCTTGATTTAACTTGACCAATTAAATTGGTTCATATTTGCTTATTCTATATGTTTGTTTAATGTTATTTACCACCTTTCTTACCTACTCAAGAGTTCTTAAAATAATATCAACAAAAAATTCAATTACAAAATAGTAGCTGAACAGATCTGCTAAGTACATATTATTACTAATTTAGATTTAATTATTGGTAATGTTGATTATAAATTAAAAAAATTTTTGTGTATTTGTAAAATTCATGTTAAATTTTGTTAAAATTGTGAGTTAGTTACTTTACAATTCAAAATTTTGTATAACTTATAGTTGGCTTAGTTAAAAAGCAGTGTTTAGATTTGATCAATGGTTTAAGTTCATAAGTAAATATTTTTTCTTTACTTATCTTAAGTTTTTCTTGTCTTGAGCTTTTTATTAACTTTATTCTTAATTACTTTACTTCTTCAGGTAATTGAATAACATATTATTAACCTGTAATTTTTTCTTTAACTACAGTGATAACAAAAGCTGTTCAACTATAATATGATAACTATAACTTAACAAATTCTATATAAAGTCTACACAAAACTTAACAAAATACAGAGTGAATTATGATTTTAAGACAGAGGCAACAATAGATAATATATGAAGATACTAAATATTGTATTTAGTTTATTCACTATTGAAATATATAAAAACACTTCTTAAGTGTATAAAAACACTTATATAAAGTATAAAAACACTAAACTTTTTTGAAAAGTCAAAAAAGTAGTGCTTTTATAGATATTATATATATATAAATAATTATAATAAAGCTAAGTTATCTCAATAGAATATGCTAAATATAGTAATACATAATAAAAAATATTAAAGATATAAAAAATATATGCTATATGTTATATATAAAAGATATATATATATAAAAGAAATCTAATAAATAATATATATATAATATATTTAAGAAATTTAATATATGTAATATCTATGCTATTTGTGAGATTTGAGAGATTTGA